TTGGTCGAGATGTTGTCCGTCAGGACCAAGACATCCCGACTGATGACGTGTGGTTCGAACTCAAGGAGGGCAAGATAGACGGCCCGAAGCTCGAGGACATTGATGCTGAAAGACTGTTCTTGTAAGGATCATTTGCCCTGAGCTGTTAGGAGGTCCAGGTGAGCCCTCCAACCCAAGAGGCTTGCATCCATGGTGATGACAAGGCGCTGTGGGTCCAGGAAGTTGCTTCCTTGTGACAGTGCTGGGAAAGCCTGCCAGCGAAGAGAATTGACCACTGTTGGAGGAAGGCGTATTGTCCAGGAGGCAGGATACGTGGCTGTCCTTTGAAAGGGAAGCAGGAGCCATTGGAGTTCCCTGCTATGGAGACGAGACCAGGGAACGATCCCGTAAGAGGACACCATCTTGCCTAACAAGGTGGAAAGTCGCTCTAGAGATGCAGCCCGGCGACGCCGGACCAGGTCAGCTAAAGTGGAGAGGCTCAAAAGTCGCTCTTGTGACAGGAAAACCTGCCCCTTAACTGTGTCAATAACTGCCCCTAGATGTTGTATCCTGGTGGCCGGGGTTAAATGGCTTTTAGCCCAATTGATGGAGAAGCCATGGATTTGCAATATGTGGGTGATCCTATCTAAATCCTGTCTGGCCTGGGTAGGGGACTGGGAAAGGATGAGAATATCATCCAGGTAGAACATGGTTCTAATGGGAATAGAGGAAATGTGGGCCATAAGGGCCGCCATAACTTTGGTGAAAACCCTGGGAGCGGAGGATAAACCAAAGGGAAGGGCCATATATTGAAAATGATGCCCATTATAAAACGCAGGAGTTTGCGATGGCCGAGCCGAATTGGAATGTGGAGGTAGGCCTCAGTTAGGTCGATGGAAGCCATATAGTCGCCATGGCAAATCCCAAGGAGGATGGTTTGTAGGGATTGCATCTTAAACCAGCGTTAGGCAATGTGCCGGTTTAAGGATTTCAAATCAAGGATAGCCCTCCATCCCCCCCCCCCGAGGACTTGGGAACAAGAAATAATCGGGAATAGAAACCCTGTCCCGCCTCAGAGAGAGGGACTGGCTGGATAGCCTTAATATCCAATAAATGCTGGATGGAGCTATCCATCCTAGCTCTCTTGATGGGGTCCGAGAATAAAGGACATCTAAGGAACAACTTCGGGGAGAGGAGCGGAATTCTAGGGAAAGGCCGAAACGAATAGTGGATCTAACCCAGGTATCTGAGACAGTGACGTCCCATTGATTAACAAAATGGGACAAACGACCCCCGACAACATGAGGGGAAATACTAGGTGACACAACAAGAGGTGAAACAGGGTGGGAAACCATATTAGCGGGACCTCCGGAAGGGGCGGCCCCTGCCGCCACGAAAGGGCCATTTAAAATTAAACCGGGAACCGGGTCTAACCTGCTGATCCGAAGTGACAGCACCCCTGGAAGAGAAAGAACGCTGAGGTCATTGAGCTGACAGGGAATTCTCAGAATTTCGATAAGAAGATAAGAAGAAAGAAGGATTGAGGCCGATTGTCTGGTCGACGGTTGAGAGCAGGTAACACCTTGCGGTGGTCTCTTGTTTCCACAAGTAGAGGGTCGAGCTGTGCTCCGAAGAGTTTGTCTCCAGAAAAAGGTGATGAGGCTAGACGCCATTTATTTCGGATGTCTGCCTGCCAGTTGTGGAGCCACAGGAGGCGACGGGCAGTGATGGAGGTGCCCATGGCTTTAGCGGAAAAACGGGCCGCATTCAAGGTAGCGTCTGCGGAAAACTCCACCGCCGCCATGATTTTGTTAAGATCTTGGTGCAAGCGATGATCCAAGGCAGGTAAACGGGCTTGCAACTGCCTAAGCCAGAGGATGGTGGCTCTATTAAAAAAAGAAGCCGCAGAAGCAGCTTGGACCGACCAGGCCGAAGCCTGATGACCTTTGATCAGGGTCCTCTCCGACTTCTTTTCCTCAGGACGTAAACACTCCTCCGGAAGACCAGCAAGAGGCGACGGAGACGAAAGAGCTAGCACAGGAGCGTCCACGGAAGGAACTTGAAGGAGCTGTGAGAAGTCGGGTGCCATGTTGTAGAACCTTTTATCTAGATTGTTGAGTAAAGGTCCAGAGCTCGGAGCCGACCATTGACGTAGCAGGACATTGGAGAACAACTTAGGTGCTGGGACCACTTCCTTCTGAACTGTAGGTTCTTGAAATAGGGCTGAAGTAGGATCCGTTGAAGCTGGAGTTGCTCCTGGAGCAGAGGAATTACCCCCTAAACGGGTAATGGTCTGAGCCTTGAAGAGCAAAGACCGAAACATCTGTGGAAGGAACAGGCCAATAAACGCCGGCTGATCCGGTTCTAAACCATCATCATCAGACAAATCATGGTCCGCCACAGGTTCTTCATCTGACATGGAGCCCTGACTGGCGGAATCTGCAGGGTCACCCGCATCTACGACTTCCTCAGCAGGTTCTTGGTATGCTTGACCTCTGCAGGAGGAATTAGTGCAAACGTGGTCCGAAGCAACAGAGGGGGCCCTCTGTTGAAGGCCCTGCGAGATCCCCTGGCGGATGGCCTCCAAAACTAGAGCAGCCAAGGCTGGGGGAATGTCGTGGAATGCCTGTGGTTGTTGCCCAGTAGGCAGATTAGGCGACGCTTGACAGATAGGCTGTTCAGGGGCCACCGAGATGAAAGAATCCTGTGCCACCGGAAAGACAGATTCCACCTCTGCAGTCAAAGCAGATCCTCCCTGGATGGATCTATCGGGCGATAAGGCAGGCGTAGGCCGTTTTGGCACCTCCCCCAGAGCGGATACAAGGTCGGCTTGGGACTGCAGGTGATCAGAGCCCGGCTCCATTGAGGAGGCGGCCTGGGCCTTTTGAAAGGCCTTCTCTATGGCCTTATGTCGCCTTTCCTCCTCACGAGATGGCCTGGTTGAATGAAGGGAGGACTGAGGCTATGCCACCTTCCTGGCCTTGGAAACTCTCCCCTTGGAAGTACTCTCTCCAGGGTCGTCCTCGTGAGGGCGTTTCCCTTTGCTAAGGGCCGAGCGGGAATGGCGCGAGTTGGAGCCGTCCGCCATCTTAGATAACAGCTCTTTGAGCGCGGGAAGAGCAAAAGCCGATTCTCAGGGCAGGAAAGAGTAAAGGAGGCAAAACCTGCGCGACCCGCCGAATTTTCCGTCCACAACCAGCCAGGTAGCGCTTTAGCGGCGGCGAAGGAGCGATCGCGGCAACGTGAGGGAAGAAAGGCTGCTGGGCGAAGCCCTGAGGCGCAGCGGTTGCCGATCAGCGGAAGGTGGACTAGCCCTGATACAGACCCACGAATCCTGAGGCCAAGGGTCTGGATAGAAACGTCCGCCAAAGGCAGGCGGGAAAGCCGGGAGACGCGGCAGGGCGAACCCGTGTGCGCGCCAAGGAAAAAAACCGCCAGCCAGCGGTAGCTGCAATTAGCGGCAGCAGCAAGCAGTTGGCAATCGAGAAAAGCCGCTAGTAAAGGGAGAGGCGAAAGGCGAGGTCCAGTTCATTCCGAGGTCAGAATTTTTAGGATTTTGAGGCAAAAGGTAACAGGAAGGCACTATAGACACGGCTGTCCTGGCAGACCGAGTCGAAAAACTGGAGCTAAGCGAGAGGAGGCGGAGCTAAAAGCTTCCAGTAGACTCGGTCCGATTGGCCAGCAACCGATCTCCTACCCAATCCTGACTGCCGTGACAGGCAGGGAGGAGAATGGACACATCAGCACAACCATACACATAAAAGTGTAGAACAGTGGAAGTACAATCTCAGATATTTGTGTTCCTTGTTTTCATTGGAAAAGCTCCCTGCTATTTTGATCATCTCAAATCATGTTCTGCTGGACAGCTCCTTAACTTCTGCGACCAGAAGTTGAGCCACTTGGTGGAAGTGGGGATAGCAACCAAGACAACACAGGAGAATGTTGGGTATAAATCTGGAAGTCTTATGACATTATACTATTCTTGGCCTTGGTCTCCATTAATTTTTTTAAAAAGTAATCCTATTACCTTGTGACATCAAATTCCCCAAATCAACTATGCATTGATTGTTCCAAATCGAGTGCCAATTAATTTAACTAATGTTCTTAAAAGGATTTATTTATTGAAGAATATAATTTCTAGCATATCTTATTTCATAAGCTAAGGAGTTCTGAACAGTAATTTTGTTTACAAATAAAATGCTCCAGCTCTTTGATCAATTTATTGCCTCTCCCATCTCAGACAAACCTCTTGAAAGAGAATATCCTATACAAATCTATAGCTAATAGTCCAAATATAGAGTACAAAACAATCTATTGTCAGGCATTATTATGTATTTTTTTAAAAGCTTTATGACTGAGGGAAGCCCTTATACTGCAGCCTTCAAAAAAGACACAGCTAATGAATCCTAATGAGTTGCTATTGTTACCTTTTATTTATAAAGATTATATTCTGAGTGAAAATCTTAACTACCAAGTGCATAATTATGTAAGACTCTTTGAAAGACAGTATTTCTCCTTTCTATTGTAGTTTCCACTATTGTTTTTTCCTACTGGTATCACTGATGAATTGAGTACCATATTTTTCGGACCATAAAACGCTCCAGACTATAAGACGCACATTAGCTTTAGAGAAGGAAAACAAGAAGAAAAAATCTGCCTCTGTGGCCCATTCACCACCGCTGCAGCCCGTTCACAGCGAACAGGTGGCGGCAATAGGCGGTGGCAGCAACCTCCACTGCCTAGAACAGCTGATCGGCGCTGCGCCAACCCTTTCCCCCCGCCGCAATATTCACTCTATAAGACACACAGAAATTTCCACCCACTTTGGGGGGGGGGGACAGTGCGTCTTATAGTCTGAAAAATACGATATATATTTCCTTATTTAGGGAGGCATTCTCTTTATTTATTTTTTAAAAGGAAATTTCAGTGAAATCACACATCAATTGTATACACCTAAATCATCTAATTTAACATTATATACATAAATCTATCTCTAGAAGTTCCACTTTTTACATTTTTACCTCTACTTCACAGCCATATTCGGAGCCATCCAGTAGGATTACTTTGCACTGCATACTTTTTGGTTTTTTCACAATCTTTAAAGGAGAGCGGGAGAGTTTGCTCGAGGATGATTTTTGGGAGAGTTTGTCGTCTTCAAACTGCTGATATTCCAGCTGCTTTGCCACTGCAGCAGCAACTTCAAGTTCTTTGTCGGTGGCCTAGAAACAGAAGAAAATTCAATTCCAGTTTCAGAATAAAAATGGGCAATCAGAGCAGGCTTTATCATGCAGGCATCCCTTTGTAGAAGCCTATTCAGAACCCATTTTAAAATAGGCATATACATTGTATTGGAAAAGAGATAAATCACTTATTTCAGTAATTTGTGAAGGCTTGTTGGGTTAATGAAACTGCTACTCTGCTGTTGTGTAGCTTTTTTTTTTTTTTTTTTAGGAAAGTGCTAAAGGAAACTGCAATATAGTAACTCGTTTAAAAATAAAGTCAAATAACCTGAATAGAAAAAGATCCAACACTGCAATGATTGTTAAAAATGTTCCTTTTTTTGAAATCTCAGATGTAATAGTCCCAAAATATGCTACCATACCAAGCAATTGCTTTTCAGTACCAGCAGTATTTTTTAAATAATGGCTTTATATATGTTAGGTTTTTCTACCACTAGCTAACAAACATATTTAAAAGCAGAGGAACTACAAAAATAATTTAAAAAGTTAAAACTTTATAAATTAATTTGTTTTTAATGATAGTAAAATGAATACCTATTTTGGTTTGAAATGACCTCAAAATAGGCTGCAACCTACACTACTGACTTTCATCACTGTTTCTACAAATGCCTCAGGCATTGTAACATGCTTCCATGGGATTAAAAGAAATTCAGAAAAAACTTTAATCTGCTTTCAGATGTAAGATCATATAGTGTGTAATATATAGAGAAGTGCAGAAATCCCTTAGAAAAATACAACCCATATAGAGAAGAATTATATTCCCCTGTTAAAATATACTAAAAATAAATAAGAAAAAAACTATTTTTCTATTCCGGGAAACATTTAGGTCAAGCATAAACACCAACATCTACAAAAAGCTAAGCAAGAGAAAAATTTCCCCCCCTCTTTTTTGGATTTGACTGCCACAGGTTTATTCTTACATTTATTTCTACTGTGCATCAAAAATAACACCACCAAAAAGAACAAATTAAGAACTTTTCGAACAGGTACCAAAACTATACAAGAATTGTTTTATACAGCAAAATATTTTCACATGAAGTTCATCTTCCTACAGAGGCCTGAATCCTTTCACTGAATGAAAAAGACTGATGGAAAGCCGGAAGGGACAGTGTGACCAGCTTCAGAGGAAATGATTGGCACTTAGTGGAACTAATCAGAGTGAGGATAACCCAGACGTAGGAATGTCTGAGCAGCGAGTCAGGAAAATAATTTGAAGCAACGATGAAAACGTTTAAATCTTGGTGACAATTTCTTCTGAAAATTCTGTGTTCTTAAATCAGAATAATTTTACATATTTTATCTATAAATTTGAATGTTTAAAGGCTGTTTTTAATATATCAACTATTAACATTGCAGACAGTAGGATACCAATTGCTGAAAATATGTGTGTGTGTGTGTGTCGAAAATGTGTGTGTTCAGCAATTAGCATCCTACTGTCTGTGTATGCGCGTGCACACACACACTACATATGCTGGTCTACATTCAACCTGGAATGTAGCATGAATGATGTCCCCTTCAAGCAAAAAGACCTTCATTCCTGAAACTCTGCATAGGTTCTGCAGGGTACTGTGGGAACCCAGGAATTGTGTGAATTTACAGCCCTCCAAGTAGAATGAAACAGTTGGACATGCCAATATATTTATTTCAGATCATGTAGAGGTTAAGTTCATTGCACATCTTTTAGTCTTTAGTAAAAAAAATATGTATAGGCAATCCTTTGAATTTAGATTTATACCCCGTCCTTTATTCAGAAGCTCAATGCAGTATATATAGCACATCTTCCTGTGAAATGTTTTTTGCTGACAGTTACTGATACTGACACTGGTGACTGAGTAAACTTCCATGATTGCAGAGAACTAAGACCTAACTTTAGTCTCACTGGCATTTGTGTGACATGTTAATCAAGAAAAATAAATTCATACTAATTTCAGCAATTACTTTACTTTAGTCACGCCAGTAAAATGGAACAAAAGATACAAGTAAAATCTAACAACAAATTGAAATTATGTTACATATTGGAGATTCTCTCCTTTTCATAACAGCAATGGACCGAAAAAGATCAATTTTGGAGGGCAGACAATTGGGTTCATTACCCCCAAAATATGTGTCTGAAATAAATTTAAAAACTTCTAACATAATTTGCCTCATTTCTACAAAAATGCTTCATTGTAATTATATAATTTTAATAAAAATAGTCTTAAAAGAAAAAAAAAACACGGAGCCTTTGTTTCGTTATACTTTCTAGAATCGATTTTGGTTTCTGTGAGTGACAATGTGCTACCTCTCCCTGCAAAATACTCTCCAAATGAGCTTAACTATTATTTCTATAAAATTCTTATGGAAGGCTACTCCCGCTCAAAATGATGCTATAATATTTATTATTTATAACTGTCGAGTGTCACAGGTGGTTCCAAGTGGGGCTGACAATAACACTTGTTACTATAATAATCCTAATCTCTAACACAGTAGGTTAGTGCCATACTGAGGAAAGGCAATTCCCTAAATAACTTGCCTGTTCCTTTTTTACAGGAGTGCTATGGGCTGCAACACTGGAAAATTGTTCTAATGCATTCTGGTGCTCTTCCTTCGCTTGCTGTTCTTGGGTTGCTTTTTCTTGTTCACCAGATGTTTCTTTCTGCTCTTGATCCTGATCTTTGGATTCAGAGTCTGAACCAGATTCTGTAGTCATGGTTGATTATCCTACATTAAAAGGAAGAATCGTGAGGTTCAGAATTGTAACAATCTAAGAAGCATACAAGAAAGATTGATTTACAAAATATTTATATATAATAATATTTATACAACATTGTTACAAGTATCACATGTATAGTTCACCAAACTAGGATCACTTGCAAATAAGGAGAAAGTGACTGTGTGTCCAACTCTACCCTCCTTCACATGGAGTCAATCCGAGCAAGGGTTGGGTAATTTATTTTGAATGCATGACGTTCCTAACTCCAGTTATTGAAAGTACTAGCTAGAAATTAATTTGCTAGGGCTTCAATGCTTGTTCAGAATTGCAAAATACAAAACAAAAAATCCCAATCAGATAAAAAATGATTTTTCATGATTATCTTTGACATCTCAGGAAAATCAAATGTCTGGTTCTGCAAAGTATTCCTGCTGTTGGAGAATATATCTCAGCCAACTGTCTGAAGAAGGAAATGCGTAAATTGGCTAGAGAATCTTCAAATTTCTTTTATTCAGATGTGACATATGCAGGGAAGTTGTACTGGCATTAATTTTAAAGCTAGTTCAACAGTCTAAACCTACCCAGGATTTTCCTTTTATACAAGGAGTCAAGATTGCAAATACAGTCTTGCTTCGGACTTTCTGGCTGAATGAGTATAGTCTGGGGAGAGGCAGGGCAGTGCTAAAGCATATCTTGAGTCTTCAGCCTTCTGTGGCACTCAGCTGCTGCACACCTAAGTTTACGGAGCTTTCTAGATTAGGCAGGGTGCAGTACAAGTTGTAGTACTAGCACAATATGTACGAAAAGGAAAATATTTAACTCCAATGCACAACCGTGAGAAAGTGCAGGGTATGCACTTAGGCGAAGGATTAAGTGATAGAACAAGTGCAACAGGATGGGCGTGAAAACTGCATAGCTAAATTAATAGTGAGAGGAAAAAGAAAAATGTGCATGTGCTATGTTTGCGAGCTGCCTGCCATACCCAAAGGCCAGTCAGAATTTAGAGAAGGACACATGTGGGTGATAACACCAGAGGCAATGGGATATTTGAGAGGAAGGCTCAGAAGCTGAGGTTCCTTATGTGCGTGCATAATACATATTGCTCGCTTGACTGAGCAGAACACTTACAGGACTTATGGAGAAAGAAAGAGGACAGCAATGCAATTTCTACACACAACACATTTACCAGTGGCTATAATTGTAAAAATCCATCATGGGAAAGATGTGAGGGTTGTTTCTATCATGGTGGACCAAGCTCAATAATAAGAGTACTTGGGCAAGATACTAAAAGTGTCGAAGCAGCTGAAAGACCTATCTATTCACTATCTCACACAGGATTGTTACTGTGGAGAAAAATAAGAGGAAGTCCTAAAAATGCTACTTAATGCTTCTAAACAAGAGTACAATCCAAAACATTTCGTATAAAATCAGTACATCATATTTCCTATCAAAGTCTATTCAGAAACGAACAGTAAATAGCTGTGGTTGTGGAAAACATCTGAAGGACTGTTTGAAGACACTTCCCTCCTCAATATTATAGGCATCTGAGTCATCTGGGATGCTTGGCATAGCTGCTTTGAAGACTCTCCCACATTGTCCGTGCTTAAGTTTACATGAACATGGAAAAGTTTAATAAGTAGTTATTTGTGTGTGTGCTTGTGGAAGTACTGTAATTTGGAAAAGTTTTCAAAATAGCAGTGAAAGCTGACTCAATACTTTGAAGTGAAATTGGACAGGAGTATACAAAACAGCAGTTCTTCTGTGTTAGAACATTTTGAAAGTAATGGTTAGAATTAATGTTATTATTTTTTGCCAGGGTGTCTTCCTGCCCAGAAGGAAATTGAAAAGGATCTGTAAGAGACCTAAAATATAAAGCCATCTACTAATTTTTTTCCTTACATTCCTTTTAATGAAAATACCTATGTCTCTGGGGAAAATGATTGTTGCACTGAATTCAAGGAATGCTAGGGCTAAGACTTCTTACATATGGACAGCAAAAATTCTTTACATGAGAGCTGAAAAGAATTTAGATTTTTCTAGATTTCTTTGCTGCTGTCTAGAGGCTATCCGGATGTTTTCCAATCCAGGTGGCCTGTTCTGAACCTCATAGTTTCCATCACCAAAACACCTAGAACTGTTTTGATGAGAACAGTAAACTTTCTAATTTTGTTTCACTGAATTGCAGCTAAATTGAAACAGCTGGATGCAATTTGAGGCTCGCAGCATTTTATTTCAAGCTCTAAACCAACCAACCAACTAACCAATGCTCCTTTTTGTGCACCACCTTTCCTGGGAAAGCTTTGCATATCTTTGATAACAGTTAAAAATCATTTCGTCTTTTCAACTTTGAAAACACATGAACACATGAATTCATCCATGGATGTTTCTGGGTAATTATTTTACAGAAATGTAAATAATGAAATGGTACAGACAACAGCATTGGACTGCCTAACACTGAGATATATTCTTTCTTACATAATGATATTAACACACCCTATATTAAAACCAGTTAAAAATTATTTTAGGCAATTAATTTTGGCAAAGGACATGTTTTCAGCAGTTAGTAAAACACAGCAAAATTAAAGCTTTATTCTTCAAAGCTACCAGGATCTAAATATTTCATTTGGCATGTTTTGCCTACTGCAACTGACAGGATGAGGTCAAACTGTAGACACAGTTCTTGCAAACATTGTAGCAGAGTTTGATAAAATACAGAAGTCTGTATCTGCTTTTGGTACCGTCTGTATTTAGATTTTTCTTTTTAATTATAAGTTGTCCAAGTCCCTTATTTTCTCCCTAGCTAAGAACAAATTAACCACTTATGTTCTATCTCTTCTCCGTTTATCTTTTAAATCCATCACTAAATCTCAATTTGCTATTTCCACAAGCATCAAAGTTTTTCAGGAATATGGCAAGTGTGTCCTATTATTTTTATATTGCCTTCTTTCCTTTTATAACACAGACAGAAAGTTAGAGATCGAAGTAAAACTACTGAAACAGTACGTCAACCCACGTACCATGGTATGAACATGTTAATTATAAAAATTAAAAATATATAATTTGGATGGTCTTTTGAACTGAAGTTATTCCTTAATTTCTGAAGGGCAATTCATAAATCAGGCAAATGGATTTCCTAACTGTGAAAAACGTTAATTCCTCATCTGTCTCCACAGAGCACACACCTGTTCAGATATCTATGCAAATAGATGATGCATAGTAACACTATGCACAATGCCAATATAGAGATTGTATTCATAGACATGAGGAAAATGGTATGTAAGAAAGTATCCGTTTGCTAAGGGAAAAGCTGACTGCATTCTCCAGCATTTTTGTTCTTATTTTACTACAAGCATTTGGGAGATTCCAAATTTTATAGCCCATATAATGTAACAGCTCTTCATTATATTATAATACCATGTAATGTAATACACAATACATATGTTGCTTTATTCTGGTTGAATAGTAGGTATCAGTCATTCCTTTTTTTAAAAAAAAAATCAAGTTTGGGGAGGGGGGGGTTGAGAGATTTAAAAAGTGATGTGCAGTAGAAAATTCTATTTTAATGTGGCAAATGCCATTAAGCAAGTCAGCACGTTGTTAAAATTAGAAGTCACCAACAGACATTTCACCAAATAACAATGAAATAGCATGCATGAAAATGACATTTTTGCTTTGATATGATCAATTACCGCATATACAACCGAAACAGTGTATTTTATATTTTGTACTAGATTTGATAAGTCTGCCTTTTGATTCTTTTGATAACACTACGAAACTACTCCCATCTTTTGTGGATTTCAAAAGCTCTTAAGACATAATGAGACCTCAGATGCACGATTGTTACGTCTATAATTTATTAATATGATAAGAGTAAACCCATGTCCATTAGAAAACACTGAATACCAGAAGCTGCGCAATCTAATGGTTTCTGCTACAAATAAGTACATTAATAAGGATTACTCAGACTTGTCACTTCTGGTAATATGCATGCATAGACATTAATAATTTAGTCAAGACACCAAAGATCTTTTCAACATGAGAAAAAGCAATAATTTGAAAAATTAGTGTCAGCATTGTCTCTGTAAATAAATGCATATAAAATAAAAATATAACGTCCATAAGTATAAGCAGAGCCTAACATATCATACTGGGTTTATTCTACAATTTCACTTTCTACTGTTATTACTGCTTCTTAATGAAAAACAGAGTACAAGTTTTTTCTTTGTTTTTCCTTTTCTGCTTGCAAACTTCAGTTATGCTGGTTATATACTGCTACAATATACTGTAGAATGATAGAACTACAGATAACAATGAGAACATTCATGCTAAAAAGTTTACCAAGCAGATGTTACATGTAAGCAGGATCACTAGCAGTAGCATTTTATTATATAATCTAAAGTTTTACTGACGTTGAGAGCATGAGAAAATATTCTCACCACACCAAGTATTTCAATCAATTATTACCAAATAAATCTATTATAAAATAGAAACAGTTCTAATGAATTCATTCAGAGTTTGAAATTCATAGATATTAGACAATGTCAAAATTCTTATGTAATTTGAAATATCCTTCTTGATTAACTGGTACTAAATCATTCATTTGTTCCATACTTTTTAAAGTACTAATATAGCTGCCTAAATTGGTTTTCAATATTCAAAATTGGAATTCAATATAGTAATTTGTATGAATGATGTTGTGGGAAATAGCAAAGGTAACACAAGATGTTTCAATTAATAAAATAGCCATTTCGTAAAAAAAAAAAAAAAAAAAAAAAAAGCAAGGCACAAAACCTCTGATGCCGCCACTGTAATTCTTTCATGTTGCTATATTCATTTCTTATTATAAATTTGCATAATTATCAAACCTTTAGCTATGGCAGCAGAATGTTTTGAAAATTAGGAGACTGCTTTATGTAACTACTTTTGTAAACCCGTTACAAATTAATTATAGGATCTATCCCGATGGCTCACTTAAAAATGTTCTCAATCCTTGAAATTGCAGAAAATT